ACGTCGAAAACCCGCCCCGCAGCGGAAGACCTTCTGAGTTCGACGAACAGCGTCTCCAAGCACGTGTGAAGCAGCATGGTCCTCAAATTAGTCGTGAATTAGTCGAAAAAATGAACTGTGGCCACAAAACTATTCTCAATCATCTTCATTCAATGGGATTTGTCGAAAAATTGGGAGCCTGGGTGCTTCACGAAGTGAACGCTACGAACTTATTACCCAATCTTAGGTTGAATTTTGCAAACCATTTCCGTGCTATCGACTCACCTATGACACCTTCTCCGTATACATTGCAAATATCCCGGCCTATTTCAGCAATTTTTCACAACTTTTCACAACTTTTTGGCTGCGATGGAAAGCGAAGAAGAGCAGGTGTCGAAAATGCTGCTTTTTACCTTCTTGATATTCCATTTCTAAGCCTCAATAGTAATGACGAATGAATCTACTGAAAAAAACGATTAACACAGTTTTGTAGAGCAGAAAGAGCTCTGTCGAATGAATATTATAACTCCTTGCAGTCGAATGAATATTACAACTTCTTGCAAATTGCAAAATGTCGCTGTAAAAAAAAGAAAATGTCAAAACACCACGAACTTATTCCCCAACCTAATATAATATAATCTATGGTATGACTGTCTACGCACCGTTTACGCAATGCATTTATTATTAAAACTATAGAAACGCAGTCAAAAGTTTTTACAAGGTCTATTGAAAGTATAATAAATGGCTTACCGGCAATTCTCATTGTTCGTACTACTGTTTGGATTGTTGTGCTATTTGTAACGTCCCTGGTATTAAGCTCAGGTATTCAAAGCGCTTATGAAGCAAAGAGCGGCTTTTGTCTATTAAGTGACTCGTTTTACTATAACTAATCCTAAAAGAATGTGGGATCGTGGTGGCGTGTGTTTAAAGAGTGAAATCTACATGTTAATACCTTTCATTAATTAAGTTTATTCAAGTAATAATGAAAAAGAGAGTTATATTTAACAATTTCTTTAGCAAATATAGAAATATATGTGCATCTGAATTCTATAAGCAAGATGGAGTATACTAGACCTATTGATATCGTAAATCGCAAGACGGTAGCTAGCTACTTCGGTTACGCGATTTTATAACGAAGTACGCAATGCAAGAAAATAACGCAATTTTATAATGGATCTAGATCGCAACAGAACTGACAGAACAATATTTGGTTTATTGCAAAAATTCTAAAATTTGTATTAGACGTGGAACAGTTACTCCTTATTTGACTCTAAACTAATTAGTTCATGGCCCCATTTTTTCAGAGCACAAATCGACACCCAAAACCTGATCGCTTAATTGGGGAGCCTGCGTTAGCTAGCTGCTAGAATTACCCAACGATGCAAGAATCAGATGAATGATGTGTGACCAACAGGATTGCAAATTAAAATGACTCGATTTTATTTATTTATTAGAGTTACCCAAACGCCGCCCAAAAGACACGGACTTCAGAGACCACGCCGCTATGTAATGGGGAGCCTGCGTTAGCTGGCTACTGAACTACCCAGAGCGAACTCCGAGAATCCGACGGCGAGTTAATAACTTAGAAAAATAAGAAATATATATATGAGTGACTGGAGAGCTCTCTAAGAATCTGACGGCGAGTTTGTAACTCAGAAAAATAAGAAATACTTGTAAGTGACTAGAGAGCTCTTATTTGATGTTTTAGTTCTTTCTGGGGCTGAGCATAGCATTCTCCTTTCGGAGTTTCAGATACAAGACCGTTTGAACGGGGAGCCTGCGTTAGCTGGCTACTAGAACTACCCAATAATCGAGTATCCAAATGGCTGAACCCCCGCTGTCCAGTCAAAACTAAGAATCTTGTAGGATCTTACCAGCTACAACTGCTCCAATTCGTCGCTTTATATTTCTCCTAAGAGGGCCGGCACGTACTACTTCAAAAATTGTTCTGATCTCGCAGCCTTTGCTACACGCCTTTTTATACCGAGAGAATCATGGGTTTTTTCTCGCTTGAAAATTATCATTATTTTATTACGCTTTATTTACTACCAAATATATATTAATTCGATTAATAAACATATACTTTGATTTATTATTAATTAGTTTTTCACAAGTTTTCCTGTTAAATCGTAGTTTTAAAAGGTTTTAAATGCACGAGTTATAAGTGTTTCATTAGAAGAAATAATTAATTACAAACAATACATAAAATAATAACTAAAAATACAATGCAATTCATAATGAGCTAATAATTAATAATATTGTAGAAATAATGATACAAGAAGTGGTATTGCACTGTATAAATTTGATTTGTGCAAGGCTCTTCTTTATTATTTAATAAAATCTTTAACACTTTTGAAAAAACTAATACTAACTGTAGGCATTTATTGGTTTAATATTATTTGTAAGACCCGTTATATGTTTATTATAATTCTCTGAAGTGTGAATGGAGTGAATGAAGGTGTTGCAAGTGGAGACGAATGATCGTTGGAAACGTATGAATGCCGTTAATGTTCAATTGATTTGTTACCAGTCCTTTGCCAACCTTGAATTGTAAAAGACGTGTTTAAAAGATTAAATAAAATATTTTACAAATTGTCCCATTAAATAAATGTTTAAAGTAGTAAAGTAGTTGAAAGTGCTATAATACTAACAATAACTACTAAAGAAACAGATTTTACTTAACCCCTTAACTTGTACGCTCGAGTTAAGTATAGGTTTATACATGATCTTATAAAAAATGATAAAGTTAAAGTTAAGCATTGTCCTACTAACGATCAAATTGCAGATGTTCTAACTAAACCATTAAACAAACAAAAGTTTATGAATTGTACAAGAAACTTGATAAGGTTTATAAATTGTAGAAGAAACTTGATAAGTGAGCTCGCGTAAGATTAAGAGATAGTGTTAAAAATAATAATCATCACGCAGCTCACGTTTTGAAAAGAGCGCGCAGGAGTGTGAGAGGTCGTTGCGAACATAGGCCGTGAAGTGGGTACACGTTGCCCGTGGCTCGCTCTCTTGTCTTGGCAGATAGGTAAGCGTGCGGACGTTATTATAAGATAAAATTTGCTTTTGAGTTTTTTATTGCGATTACAAATTATATTTACTGAATAATTTTTTGTTATTGTTAAAGACCTTTCCTTTTGTATAAATAAAGTATTCATAGTATTAAATAGAATAAAGCACGTATCAATTCTTTCTACGTAACCGTAACCATAACCTCCTTACTGAATTTTGACACATGCTGCAGGGGTGAAAATGACCCCCAAAGTTGGGGTTGCAAAACATATTTTCTCGAACATCTCAGGAACTATTAGGCCTATACAAAAAATTAAAAGTGCAAATTTTTCTGTTTTAAAAGGCCAATAATATGGCGTAAGTGGGTTTTTCAAAAATTTATTTGTTTAAAAAATATGTTAAAAATTAACATTATTTTGCACATTTTTTTTATAAAACTTTGTACTATTTTGATCAAATTTCGCATAAGTAAACTATAGGTCCAAAAACAAAATACGGATAAATTGGAATTTTTAATTTCGCTTCTGGAAAAAATATTACTGTCGTTGAAGTTATACGTACGTTTTATACCTTTCATTCGACGCACGACTGATTTCTATACGTAATTTTCTGGAAATTATATTATATTACATTTTTTACACTAACTTATTTAAAACACACAACTGAACCTAACCGTGAAATAGCAAGCTCGTACTCTAACACTACTTCAACAACACCTTGTATCTAAATCCTAAACTCCAACCCACAAACACCTAACAAATCACACTCTATTCTATTGGATCTATCGAATCTGTAAACGTCAAACGTAAAGAGAAAATGACAAATGTGCACTGTCAACAGGAACACCAGCCAGCGACCCCAACGGAAATGTCCACAAAGAATAACAAAGGAGGCAGCATCACGTCGGGGGCCACAGCTAGGATGATGCAAGAAGCGAGGAAGAAGATAAAGAAAAGAGAGCAGAAGAAGAAAGAGGAGGAAGAGAGAAGCAGGGAAGAAACGGCAGATAGGAAGAACAGAACAAGAAAAGCAAGTGGAGAGATAGGAGCGCTAAAGGCACCGAAGAGAGCAAGGCAGAAAGAACCGGTGGAAAGATCAACGAACAGTAATCGGAGAAACTGGGCTCCGGAGAATGAAAGAGAGGAGGGCCTTCTACTCATGGAGGTAGCGGAAAATGTAGAGAAAATGGAGAGAAATAAAAACGAATGTAGGAAACAGAAAAAGGGAGGAAAAGAAGGGATAAGGGAAGAAGCGTTAGTCAAATATCCAAAGGGAGAATTTACGTACGAACAGGCGTTAATATGGATTAAGAATAAAGTCGCTAAACTTACAGCATTAATCAACGAGGTAAGAGAGACTAAGGCAAAAGACATTTATTTCGTGTTCGGAAACGAACGAGGGGGGCTACGGATCGAAGAATTTGCGGAAATTATAAATCGAGAGGGTAACGGGAAATGGGAAGTCCATATACATACAAACAGAAAACTCGTATATATTAAACTTTGGGACCCCAACGTTAACGAAGAGGAGATATTAGAAGCACTTAGTAGCTCCGATATAGGGACTTTTGTAGAACAAGGGGAAATAAGAATTAGGGAAATACAAGGGGAGAGAAACTCGGCGATGAGGACCGCGATCTTGAAGTGCACGAGACGTGCAGCCAAACTGCTCCTACAACAAAATATAAGAGTAAAATCGCAGGAGCTCAAACCCTTCATTCCAAGAGTGAGAGGAAAGAAAATTAAAAAAGCAAGAAGACATTAAGGATAAGACACATAGACACATAAAGAATGTAATAATCGAATGTAGGATTAATTAGCATGTAAGTAGAAACTAAACCAAATGTGTAGATGTAAGAAAGCGACAAATAAGATAGGCCATAAGTAAATCAGCCGCATGCTCTGTATAACATATAACACGTAGATAGAACACAAGCAAATAAATAAAAGAAATGCATACCGCAAATTATATCAACCTTACCAACCCAAATAACGCGAAAGACTAAACGCAAACACGCACATCAAACGAACAAACAATTAATAAACAAGGCAGTCGAAGCTTAACTTTAGCCTAAAACCGAACCCGGACAAATACTAAAACCCAAAATCCTGAAATCAGAAACCAAAGATCAAGTTTAGAATAAATATAAATAATCCTAAAAGCAAAACCCAAATCACATAAAATAATTTTCAGAAAAAAAATACGCCGACTTTGAAATGCACCAAAAAGTATAAAATAATTTCTATTTCCTAATGAAGTAATTTCTATTTCATTCAATCATACAATTACGTAATAGATATGAATGAAACCTATTTACTCGTTAGGTAGTATATTAAATACATTTCAACCTTTTCGGAGGCGGCGCATCATTAAATAATAATTAAGGTATTTTTAATTATGCGTCGCCTTTGAAATGTATTTAATATACTACCTAACGAGTAAATAGGTTTCATT